ACTCTGCGCCCAGCACGCACACGTCTCTCTTCTGTCTCCGTAGAAATACTACCCGCCGGACTTCGATCCTGCTAAGATCCCAAAGCTCAAACTCCCAAAGGACCGACAGTATGTGGTGCGGCTCATGGCCCCCTTCAACATGCGGTAAGAGGGGCTCTACCGGTCAGAAGGAAGCGGCTGTACAAGAGAGGCGTGTGCTTGAGAATAGTTTGTTCCCTTTTTTGGATGTGCTACAGACTTTTCTTTCTCCTTTTCTAGATGCAAGACCTGTGGTGAATACATCTATAAAGGCAAGAAGTTTAATGCCCGTAAGGAGACTGTTCAGAATGAGGTGTACCTGGGACTTCCCATCTTCCGCTTCTACATCAAGTGCACGCGTTGCCTGGCAGAGATCACTTTCAAGGTGAAATATGTCCTGTATTTTCTGCGCTCTTGCTTTCTGGGGAGGCTGTGCAGCCTGTGGACATGACTGGGTGCTGGCCCCATGGGCAAAGATCTAGTCTGGGCACGTGCTTTTTGGTGTGTCTTCCCTTTTCATGGCCAGTTTTTAGCTCTGAAATATCTCGCCCATCCATGAGCTGCAGCACATCAGCTGGAGCAGAACAAAAGGCCGTGGGTGATTGTCTGCTCTAATTGGGAAACATTTGCATGCAGCTCTGGAAGCAGCCACAGGATGACTGGAGCAGAATTGCCCCAGTACAACAACTTTGGTGTCTTGTTTCTTCCTTAGACAGATCCCGAGAACACAGACTACACCATGGAGCACGGTGCAACTCGCAACTTCCAAGCTGAGAAGCTCTTGGAGGAAGAGGAGAAAAGAATGCAGAAGGAGAGGGAAGAGGAAGAGCTCAACAATCCCATGAAGGTACGGGAATGTGCTCTTCTCTGCAGAAGTCAAACCTCTCCTGCCCTGGCCAGCGTTCCCCAGCAAAGCAGGAGACATCGTAGCCATCAGTGTAGTTCTCCAGGTGCTCTGGCCTCAGGAGGTTTCCTCCTGTGCTGGAACTTGGGACAGGCTGCATCTTGCCCCAGTTTTTCCTGTCCTATTAAGACCCAAAAATGATGATGATGAGGAAGATGATCCTCTTAGTGCTTCCTGTCCTGTACTGGGCGGGGAGGGGGCGGCGTTGGAGATTGCCGGCAGGCTCTGCTACCTCACATAACCCCGACTTCCCTCTGGTCACCCAGGTCCTGGAGAACCGAACCAAGGACTCCAAGCTGGAGATGGAGGTTCTGGAGAACCTGCAGGAGCTGAAGGAACTCAACCAGCGCCAGGCAAACGTAGACTTTGAGGCAATGCTGAAGCAGTACAAGGAGTACGAGGAGCAGCAGAAGCGCAAGGAGCAAGAGGAGGATGAGGAAGAGATGAAGTGAGTGGGCGTGTGAAATGGGTCACACTGGACCCGGCCAGGCAAGGCTGTGTCTCGCCCTTTCCTCAGCACCCCGAGGGGGCCCTGCCTGAGGGGCCTGAGTTCGCAGGAGTTGTACGGGTGGGATGTCGTCCTGAGCGGGCTGGGAGGAGATCGGGGACAGTTTGTTGTGACAAAGCGTTTAGGGGGGGTGGAGGGGTTTTGGTGTCACTGGCCCATCTGGTGGGGAGATCTGGGCTGCGGCAGGGGCCTGACTCCCCCGAGAAATGTCCTCGCCTGCACAGAGAGTTTCTGCACCTGGCTGAGGCTGCAGATCTCAGCGTTACCAACCTTCGGGCACTGCTTGAACATGACTTCTTAAAAAGCACCTGAGAAGGTGGATCGCGTTGCACTGCTGCTGAATTCCAGGCGCGGTGCACGGCCGGCACCGCCCGGCACGGCGGTGGTCTGACTCCGACGAAGAACCTGCAAAATCACGTACGAAGCCTGTGGCGAAAATTAAACCTACGGATATCTTGCAGGAGGTGAGTGGGGGCAGAGCCTCTTCCACCCACCGCACCTCTTCCCCCAGACCAAATCCGCTGTCCTGGGATGCCTGTTGTCTCTTCTGTCCCCGCGATGCTGGAGCCCTAACGCCTGTCACGCATGAGCAGCTTAGAAAGCCTGTGTCCGTGTGCACTGGGCTGAAAGGAGACGGGGATCAGTTGGTGATTTTAGACCGCGTTTGCTGACGAAGGCTGGGAGGGAGCTGCCCCCGTCCTCGCTCAGGACACAGCTTCCCTTTCAGCTTGGAAAAGACAGGCTCGCCTATGCCCGGGTTGTACTTCAGGCACGATTTCAGCGCTCTGAAAATTACAGCAATGAAACGGCTGCCTGGGACAGCCTCTCCTTTGGTTCTGTTTTGTCCGCGTTGGAGACGTGCAGAACAAAAGAGCTTTCAGTGCCCGGCTTGCAAGGGAGGGATTATCCCCACAGACAGGCCCCTGCACCGCTGCTCTCCGATGTCGATCCGTGTCTGCGGGGAACCTCTGTCCGGTTGGATGAATCAAAGCTGCCGTGTCTCTGAGCTGGGCCGGGGTTAATCTGAGCGATGTTCCCTGGCCCGGCACTAATCCTCATGCTCGGGGGAGCGTGATTGAGAGGCCGGACCACCTGCAGGCACGCGGTCCTGGCTGGCAGAGGTTGTGCAGCACGCAGCTGGCTCCCCAGCGTCCCAGGGCCAGCCCACGGCTGCGCAAGGCTGGGTTCAACTGTCACGGGCAGCGGGGCGTTTGTCTCCAAGTACTGTTTCGTGGCCGTTTAGATCCACATCCCTGTTGTTCGTCTAGCTTGTGCCAGTCTCCGCGGAGGGAGAATACCCCCCTTGGCTGCTCCGAGCAGCTGTCCTCGCGTCTCTCCTGCTTTGTGCTGCTGTTTTTACCACTCCCCTTTTTCCCCCCATCCCTCTGCCTTCGTGCCGAGGCCAGAGCACCCTAACACCCCTGCTCTGCTCTGCAGGACCCTCAGCCCCAGAATAAGAAGCTGAAGACCGAGAGCTGGGAACGGAGCGTGGGCAAATTGAACACCAAGCCCCAGTTAGCCGGGCTGGTCACAGTGAGGAAGCAGAAGCCGGGTCCTGCCCTGACTAATGGGACAGAGAACCGAGGCGCCACGGCCGACACCGGTAACCGCTCACGTGGGGACAGGGTGACCTGAGCCGGGCCATCAGGGAGGGGCCTGGCAGCACCCAAGTGGTGTTTAGGTCTGGCAGCACCCAAGCGACATTTAGCTCCGTCTTCGGAGTCTGAATGCTTTCGGGGCAAGGCCTTGTTGCAGGACAGATGGGGCTGTGATGGCGTAAGAACAGGGGCTTGTCCCTGTTTCCAGGACACGTCCTGATAGAGGAGAGGTTCCTTCCTGGCCCTTGGCGCTAAGCCAGGGCCTTGGAGTTAGACTGTCAGGGCCAGAAGCTTCAAAACAGCGTCTCTGCACTGATACGATGCTGGGAAGCGTCACAACAGAGAGATAGGAATGGAAAAGCAAGAAAATTGCCTTGGTTTGGGGCCTGATTACAAAACCTGCCAAACTGTCGGAGTTTGGAACCTTTAAAGCAGGGCTGGAAACAAGCAGAGAGGCTTTCCAGCGCCTCATTGTTCACCACCCCAGGAAGCCAGAGGACCTGTGGATTTGGGGAAGGAGCCGATGAATCGATAGATTCTGGGCTGGTTGGTCCTAAAGCCTTTGGCTTAGTAAGTCCCTCTGCCCTCCGGGGATCCCGAGGAAGGACAGCTCTGGTAGTTGCCCGTTTTTGCTGTGCTTTCCCCAGCCACCTGCTCCTGGCTGCTGGCAGGGTCTGTTCAGCCAAATCACGCTGGAGGAGCTGCCCGGCTTTCAAGGGCTCAGCTCCGAGCTGGCGCGGGGCTCCCCGCCTGCGACGCTGCCTCTCGCTCGCAGCTGGCTCCGTTCCCAGCGGCTGAAATCTCCCAGGGGGTTGTGGAGGGAGAAGAGGGGTTTTGCAGACCTCGGGCTAACCTCGCTGCTTCCTCCCCTTACCACGAGGCGGAAGCAGGAGGCTCCGGCCGAGGGGGAGCGGGGTCTCCTTGTCCACCCAATTTCACCTTCAGGCTGGGGGACGAGGCACCGCTCGGACTCAGGCTCCGGCTGCC